CGTGGTTGTGAGGGTGAAATGTGAGAGTGAATGGAATGCGGTCACTGTTTTCCTATTCAGCCGTTTGTAGTGCTGACTGTCGATCAATTTGTTGGGCACGGTGATGGCCCACTTGAACGACAGAAACCGCATCGAAAAAGTGCCACATTGCCTCCGATCTCTCCGAAAAATCAGAGTCGTCACTACATAAACGCGAAGTCTGAGAAACTGTGAAAAAGGTATGGAATTCTTGACATGTGATGGATGCGAGGATGGATACAGCAGGTAAATATGTGAGTCTGTAGGTTTGTAGTAAACACTAGTGCATAAACCGTTGCCATAAACCGTTGCAAAAACATTTTTGTTGTTCTCAAGAAGTCGAGCTAACACCAAGACGGAAACGCCTTCTTCGAAAATTTGCCTTTCTCTTTACTTTGATGGAATTAGTCTGTCGCAATTAGGGAGGTCAACCCGCAATTAGGGAAGCTAGCTCGCTGTATGTACTGCACTGTTTCTTTTAATCTAGATTTTCTTCGTGGAAAAAGTCAAATAAACATTTATGAAACTCCGAATTGCATAGAGAACAGGCGTTTTCTTTGGCCTTAATACCTCGAATCGAGTATACGCGCGGATTCCGTACGGACAGTTGAGAGTAGAAAGAATTAGATTGTCTATAAGCATAGTCTCTTGCTTCTTGAAACGTGTTTAGACGACTCTTAGACGTTTCAGTGACAGTGTACGGCATATTTTAAACAGTTTTATATTGGTTCATGACGGTTTTAAAGGGTCATCAAAATGATCATGTCTCAATTTTGTCTTGAAGCCTTTCTATGGTTCGCCGCCTACCTGGACTCCTAATTCCTTACTGTTCACCTGAACACTCGTCAAGGTGTGAGCTGATCACGTTTCAAGCTGAAGATCTGTGCAAAATGAGTCACTTACTTCACTTACCAGTTTTTCACTTCTTTGTATTTCCTTTTACTTGCAATTAAAAGTTTGGTTGTAAGTTAGCGTATAAGATATCATGATTTTGTGTTATATTTTTGTAGAAACACTGTTCTTACCGATTATTTTTGTCATATTTTTGATATAATTAACCAGTTTTGCTGACTGAATAAAACATATTATGGCAACTTAGCTTTGCAAACATTATCTGTTTAAGGTATGGAGTATCAATGAAATTTGAAATTCTTTATTTTTAAGATGTCGATAGGAAGTACTGTTTAATTTTTTATTTTTCTGTTACATGTATAAGTGAGCAATGATTCTTTCATACCATTCATATCATTCGCATTATTTCATTTCTCATAACGATGGCCTAAACGATCAAATTATAAAGTGTGTGTAAAAAGATAAATACAATTTTTGCTTTAATTACGGTGAGTGATTTATACTATCAGTTGTAGTCATAAAAAGCGGGTTCCGGTGCATTTTGAAGACAATTTTGATTTCAAGGCAACTCATGAATTTTACCTTGATTTCAAGTCGATCTTGATTAAAAAAAACATTTCTGACGCATTTTCAAAATAACCTTGATTTCAAGAAAACTTGAGTTTTTCACAATGTCTCGTTCGCGAGTTCTGAAGAGAGTGTGAATATTATTCTCTTTAACGATGGGGGTGTTGATTCATTTTTTTCAAATCAACGAATTCCTTTAGGAGGTCACTCAGTTCCAGGAGGAACAATCTGAAGCTCTTCTATGACGAAACCACGCTTCGGTCCATCATTCAGATAGTACAGAACAAGTTCGCCTTTATTCACAAGCGATTTTTTGATATTGTAGACCTTTAGAGACCAGATTGGATCTGTGGCTCTTCTTTGACCACCTTCCAGCTCACCAGCGGGATAGAAATATCTTATATTCTTTAAAGAGTCGAGTCTCTTTTCCTTCTGGCCAACTGGTCTTGAATAAGTCGTTGAACTCTTTGCGTCAACCACCTTCTCTTTGATTGCATCCACAGGTTTCTTTCCAGTCAATCTTGTCTCTTCATTATTCAAAGCCAATACAACTTCTGGTAGCCCCTTTACCTATTCGATTGATCTCTTTATCTCTTTGAAGTTCATCTCTTGACTGTATTGAAAGGTGAAGAGGCGTTCACCCAAAGTTCGATTGAATCGCTCGACGATTCCCTGATGTCTTTGAACGTTCACATTCCCTCTTCTTATCCTCACATCGTGCTTTGCCATTTCTCTTGTGACATCACCCATGAATTCACGCCCAGGATCAACCTGAAGAACTTTTCGCCATCTCAGTGGTCCACGCTTATAGATTGTCTGAAAAGCCTTTGAGACCTCAGACGAATCCTTTGAGGTGAGAGGTTCTTCAGCCTTGAATCTGCTTGCAACATCAGCACCTGTCAATGCGTACTTGTAGACTTTCTTACCTCTCGGGAGTCTGTCATGAGGAAGGAAAAGAAGATCGGCTTGATGAACTTGTGTTTAAACGGCTAAATTTCGCCGTCAAATCCCACAACGTTCTCATTTTGATCGACACACGCG